GATTTTGGGATTTGCGCTTAATTTTTTAGTTTCAGGACTCAAGGCAGTGCGCACGGTGTCGGGCAGGGGTCGAGGGCCCAGGGTCAAGGGTTTAGGGTTTAGGGTTTAGGGTTTAGGGTTTAGGGTTTAGGGTTTAGGGTTTGGGGTTTCGGGCGTTGGGTTTCGTTTTCCGGTTTGCGGCTTCGAGTTCGTGCGAACAGTGCGGGGCGCGGCGTTGAGGACGCGGGGCTGCGCGGAGGGCGCAGAGCTGAGGGTTTAGGGTTTAGGGTTTAGGGTTTAGGGTTTAGGGTTTGGGACCAGAGGGCCATGATCTTGCCGGCGCCGTCGTCGGTGGCGATGACGAACCACACCGCCAGGCAGACGAAGGCGTTGCAGCCGACGGCGCGGAGAAAACAAGAAAGAAAAGAATAATTGATTTTATCTTTTGCAGTTTTGAAAAGAAAAGAAGAAACAGAAGGGTCTGCGAGGGCCCCCGTGAGGTGGGAGAGGAAGAAGGCCACGAAGAGGGCCCCCAGCCAGTTGCCCACCAGACTGAAGCTCCAGTTTATGGCTAGCTGATGCACTTTTATTCTTCTTTCCAAAATGCAAACTAACATTGTCATTGTATTTCCAGTAAATAGTTCTGCGCCCGTCCAAATGATGCTGATGAACGCCACGGGAAACAGCAGTCCGTACACCAGCTTCTGCACCGCCTTCGGCACCGCCAGCGGCTCCCCGGGCTGCACCGAGAACGCCCCCGCTGCAAACGCAGCTCCAAATGCATTTTAAATCCTTTTAATGAATTTTAAAACACATTTTAAACACAATTAAACCAAAAATTCATAAAATCCACCGCGGATCACCCCGGATCGCCCGCAGAGCCCCGCGCGCCCCCACCCGCGATCGCCGCGCGACAAACCCCCGAAACTCCCCGAAAAAACCACTAAATTCCACTTTAAAAGAAATATTTTACTTTAATTCAACGCAAATAAACCCTTTTTTTCTTTTTTTTTATTTATTTCCGCTTTAATGCCCCCCGCCCAGTCGAGGCGGCCCGCCCCCGAGTTTCAGGTGTACAGGCAGCTCCCGCGCAAGCCCGCGCCGCCGCCCGCGGCCGTTCGGCCCTTTTTTTGCGGTTTTTTTCGTTTTTTTTTGCTTTTTAAGAATTATTTTGATAAATATTTGCAGAAATGTTTGCAGAAAAGAGTTTGGAGGGGCTTTTGAGGCCTCAATGGCGCAAAACGGCTCACCAATGGTCGTGCAGCAGTGGCCCGCGAGCCCCACGTAGACCCCGGCCATGAAGGCCTGCAGAAAGAGGCGGTCCAGCCGCAGGCGCATTTTGTGCATTCCATACTCCAGAAGGTGGTAGTAAGTGTCGGGGCTCGCTGTGACCACCATTTTCGCGGCTTTTTGGGGACTTTGGAGTCTTTTCGAAAGCTGAGGGGCCCCCGGGGCTGCATGCAATTGAAAGCGGCTTTTAAAGACTCCAAAAAGAGCCCAAAACAAGGCCGCAAGCCCGAGTTTCAGGGGGGCCCCCCGGGTGGTCACTGCGCCAGCCCCGCGGCCCCGGAGGCCCCGCAGCTGAAAGTGCGCAGAAAACGCAAATTAAACGCTAATTTAAATATTTAAAATGCTTAAAATGTTAAAATTTGAATTTGTTTTCTTTTTTTATGCAAAAAGATCGCAGAAGCAGCGCCGGAGGGCCTCGGAAAGGTGCGGCGGGGCCCCCGACGGCCGCGCTCGCCGCCGTGCTCGCGCAGCCAAGTCGAAGTCTTTGTTTGTTTGGAATTCTTTTTTATTTTAATTTAATTTTAATTTTAATTTAATTTTAATTTAATTTTAATTTAATTTAATTTAATTTAATTTAATTTAATTTAATTTCATTCAAATCCTTCAAGCGAGACGAGGATCCCCTTCCAGAGAGGTGACCGCGCTTCTGCTCGCCCACCACACAGACACCCAAACCCTAAACCCTAAACCCTAAACCCTAAACCCTAAAGTAGTGAGTTTCGTCCCTTCAGATCCAAGTCAATGCTGTCTTTTAATTCCGCAAATATTTCATGTTTTCCATTCCAGGCTGCTGCAGCAGCAGCGCCAACACCAGCTGCTGCAGCAGCAGCAGCAGCAGCAGCAGCAGCAGCAGCAGCAGCAGCGACGGTCTGTCTGTGGCTCTACCGAGGGCCTTGAGCCTTTTTAGCAGCATTTATTTATTTTAAAACATTAATATTTTGAATTTTAGTTTTAATAAATACATTTAAAGCTGTTTTTCCTTCGAATTTTCCAAACCCTCTCGTCCAGACACCCGGCTGGCTCCTGGGGTGTACGTACACCTCAGCGAGGCTCCTGGGGTGTACGTACACCTCAGCGAGGCAGCTGCTGCTGCTCCGAGCTCATCTTCCGCAAGCCATATTATCACTTCTTTGTTTTTCATTTTTGAACATCAAAAGCCAAAAACAAAACAAAAAGAAAGTCCTGCATGCAACGCCGCCTCCGTAGCCGCAGCGGCACACCGAGACTGCTGCTGCTGCTGCAGCAACACCCTAAGCAGCAGCACAAGCCGCTGCAGCAGCAGCTGCAGCAGCAGCTGCAGCAGCAGCTGCAGCAGCAGCTGCAGCAGCCCGGCCCGCAGCAGCAGCAGCTGCAGCAAGCTCTGCGAAGCTGCAGCAGCCGCCCCTGCAGCGGCTGCTGCGCAGCCGCTGCTGCCCCAGCAGCAGCAGCAGCAGCAGCAGCAGCAGCAGCAGCAGCAGCAGCAGGGGCTCAAACTGTGAGGCGCTTGCAGGACCAGTAGGCCCAGCAGACTGCGTGGACAGCTAGCGTGCAGCTAGCTAGCGGCAGCACATCAGCTAGCCAAAACCACTCCGAACTTTTTAATTTTGAATTTAAAAAAGAACCTCCTAATCCATAATCCGAGAAGAAGTCTTGTGCGCTGTAGTAGCCAAACGTGGCCGCGCGCTCGGGGTCCTAAGACGCACAAAACGAGGGTTTAGGGTTTAGGGTTTAGGGTTTAGGGTTTAGGGGTTGGCTCAGGGCTGCGGGAGCGCCCTGGGGTTTAGGGTTTCCACAGCAGCAGCTGCGGCAAACAGCTCCTGCTGCTGCTGCTGCAGCAGACCCGGAGGCTCCCCGCTGGCCAAGCAAAAAAAGGGTTTAGGGTTTAGGGTTTAGGGCTTAGGGTTTAGGGTTTAGGGTTTACTCACCCCAAAAATGGCTTCGTTGTCGTCGTAGAGCGCAATGGCCAAACCCTCGAAAAGGTAAAAGTAAGGAGACAAAAACAACAGAAAACGGAGGGGAGCAAGCACAGACCTGTGCACACGCCCGAAACCCTAAACCCTAAACCCTAAACCCTAAACCCTAAACCCTAAACCCTAAACCCTAAACCCCCAAAAGGTGAAAGTTTGTGGGCATTAAACCCTCAAGGCCCAGACTCTAAGCCCTAACCTTCTCGCGCATAGGCTGCAAACCTGCCAACCCTTGCACCCCTCCGCCAGCCCCAAACCCTAAACCCTAAACCCTAAACCCTAAACCCTCGCTGCTTCTTGCCTAGGGTTTGCGTTGAGCCCGTTTAGCACAGAAGTCAAAAAGAGCCAGCCACCCCCAACTGCGTTGACAGCCATAAATGTGTCCATTGTTGCTGAGCAAAGCTGCATTACAGAGTCCACAAACTGCAGCAGCAGCAGCAGCAGCAGCAGCAGCAGCAGCAACAGCAGCAGCAGTAGCAGCAGCGCCGTGAATATCGCAGTCCCCCCAGCGACAGCAGCAGCAGCAGCAGCAGCAGCAGCAGCAAAGCGCAGATACCAACAAGAGACGCAGGCAAAGGCAAAAGGCCCTTCAGGCAAACAAAGGCTTCCCAAAAACTGCAGCAGCAGCAGCAGCAGCTGTTGCTGCTGTTGCTGCTGTTGCTGCTGCTGCTGCTGCTGCGGCGCACCAACTGCAGCTTTGGCGACACCAGCAGCAACAGTGACACAACGGTAGTGTTCGCAGCAAAACACGCAGTTGCAACTGGAACGCAAGCAGCAGCAGCAGCAGCAGCAGCAGCAGCAGCAGCAGCAGCAGCAACAACAGCAGCAGCAGCAGCAACATTGCTTACTGCTTCGAAAATAAAGTAGATAAGAAAGGCAGCAGGAAATCTGTCAAAGGGAAAATTGCAAAAAGCGAAAACAATTAAAAGCGAAGGCAGCAGTGTGGCCGTCATCACCAAACAACTCGTTATGCCCTGCGCACAAACCCTAAACCCTAAACCCTAAACCCTAAACCCTAAACCCTAAACCCTAAACCCTAAACCCTAAACCCTAAGCCTTAACCCCTAAACAACACAGCCTTGGCGCAAGCCTGTACCCAATCCCCATTCTGGCTTCCTTGGAGCCCAAAACCCCAACTCCAAATCCCAAACCCTAAACCCTAAACCCTAAACCCTAAACCCTAAACCCTAACCTCTGCAAGCAAGTAGGGCCCCGGGGAGTAGAAGCCGTCGGCGACTTCGTGCATGAACAAAAGTTTTCTTTCCAAATATGTGACAGTGTTTACAAAAGGAATAATGCTGAGGGCTATGCACATCTGCAGCAGCCAACGCAAACCCTAAACCCTAAACCCTAAACCCTAAACCCTAGCCCTGCTTCGGGCGCGCCGTCTGCGCTGCTTGTTGAGGCCTAAGGCCTAGGGCTTAGGGCGTTTTTAATCTATTTTTATATTATTTATTATATATTAATTATCATTTATTTTTAAATAATATATATATATATATATTTGCCTACATATATATACATATTTATACATACATATATATACAATAGTGAAGCAAAAGCAGGCACTCATATATATATATATATACATAGGGTTTAGGGTTTAGGGTTTAGGGTTTAGGGTTTAGGGTTTACGAGGACGTGGGCGGAGAGTTGGTAGAAGACGGGGGCTCTGTGGAAAGCTCGGAAGAAAAGAATTCCAGTGATGAAAGAAAAGAAATAAACTGAAAAGACTGTCAAAAAGAAACTTCTTTTATCTCGAAAAGTTCTTTTGAAAGACCGCTGCAGCAGCAGCAGCAGCTGCAGCAGCCAGGGCGCGCGGTGTCTGCGCAGACACCCCAGCGCCCGCACTTTCAAACTCGCAAGTTCATCCATTTGTTCAAATTTAAATCCATTTATTCAAATCCACTTTTATTTATTTTTATTTTTTATTTATTTTTATTTTTTATTCATTTTTAGCTTTCAAAAGACAAAAAAGGCACAAAAAATCCAAAATTTGAAAATTTCGAAACAAAAAAATGCAAAGGCATGCGCGGTGTATGTACACCGCACGGATCGAAGGAGAAAAAAGTCATAAACCCTAAAAGGGAGGATATGCTCGTAAACCCTAAAAAGGAGGATATACTCATAAACCCTAAAAAGGAGGATATAGTTATGAACACTAAAGAGGAAGATATAGTCATAAACCCTAAAGAGGAGGATATAGTCATAAACCCTAAAACAGAGGATAAAGTCATAGTCAAAATCCCTAAAGAGGAGGACTTAGTCCCAAACCCTAAAACAGGGGATAAAGTCATAAACCCTAAAAAGGATGATAGAGCCATAAACCCTAAAAAGGAGACATTTGAAACTCAATCTTCGGCATTATTTATTTAAAACTCTTCGGAATTAAAAATAAAATAAATAAAATAAATTTATTTTAATTTCATTTTGCTGCTGCTGCTTCAGTTGCTGAGCCGTACAGACACCTCGCGCGCTGCGTTTGCTGCACTTTTGAATTTTTTTTTGTCTTTTTTTTTCTTTTTTGTTTCTTTTAATTTATTTAATCTTTTTTAATTCTTTTTAAACATCTTTTAATCTCTTTTTGTCTCTTTTTTTCTTTTTTGTTTCTTTTTTGTCTATTTTTGTTTTCTTATTTTACTTCGCAGCTCACCTGCGAACGCTGGCGTCTCCAAATAGCAGCAGCAGTTCTTCTTCGTTGCTTCTCACTGCTGCTGCTGCTGCTGTTGCTGCTGCTGCTGCTGTTGCTGCTGCGGCTTTTGCTTCTTCTTCTTCCCGCGCTACTTCTGCTGCTGCTGCTGCTGGATCTTCCTCCATTGCTGCTGCTGCTGCTGCTTGCGGATCTCCCTCCGTTGCTGCTGCTGCTGCTGGATCTCCCTCCATTGCTGCTGCTGCTGCTGCTGCTGTTGCTTCTTCTTCTTCATTTGCTGCTGCTGCTGTTGTTGCTGCTGCTGCGACTTGCCTTTTGCTGCTGGCTGTTTCGTCCGCGTCCTCGAGCAAATCTGCTGCAGCAGCAGAAGTGTACATACACTAGAAGACAAAGACATAAAAAGCCAAAATAATTTTTTTAAATGCAAAAAAATAAAACATATGCAATTGAAAAGAATAATATCAAACAGGATATTTTAAATCATGCAAAATGGTGAAAAAAAGAACTAAAAAGCGAAGAAAAAGGAAACTTGGTGCAGCAGCAGTAGCAGCAGCAGCAGCAGCAGCAGCAGCAGCAGCAGCAGCAGCAGCAGCAGCAGCAGCAGCAGCAGCAGCAGCAGAATCATCAGCAGCAGCAGCAGCAGCAGCAGCAGCAGCAGCAGCAGCAGCAGCAGCAGCAGCAGCAGCAGCAGCAGCTGTGGCTTCAAGCATGCACAAGTGGAACTTTTGCCTTTAAGAGCACTATTATTAGTTTTAATTAGCATTTATTAAAACTTAGTATTATTTATTTTTATTTTTAATTCACTTTTATCTGTTTTTATTTAGTTTAATTTACTCTTACTTGCTTTATTTGCATTTAATATAAAGTATTACATTTATATTATATTAATACTACACTAATATATTATTAATTTAGTGATAATAAAATATAATATTAAATATAACATTGAATTCTTTTATTATTTCAATTTCTTCTTCGGACTTGTTTTCTAATTTGTTTCAGCCCCAGCAGCAACTCCCCAACCCCTAGGGTTTAGGGTTTAGGGTTTAGGGTTTAGGGTTTAGGGTTTGCGCGGACTTTGGGGCGGGGTCCCTCTGTGTGTGTGGAGGGCTTGCATGCGTTTGAGGTGTCTGTACACCTCAGCTTCGAGGGCTGGTTTTTGGAACTTTTCAAAAGCGTCTTTTAATTCATTTAATTTAAAGTTTGGAAATCCCGGAGTTAATAACTCCACGTAAAACTCCGCGGGGTTTTCGTGCAGCGGCGGGGGACATCCTGTGGAGAAATAAAACAAATAAAATAAATAATTAATTTATTCATTTAATGCATTTATTTTTCCTTTTTATTTAATTAATTAATTCATTTAATGCATTTATTTTTCCTTTATTATTTAATTAATTCATTCATTTAATGCATTTATTTTTCCTTTATTATTTAATTAATTCATTCATTTAATGCATTTACTTTTCACCAAGTTCAATTCAGCAAATGAACAATTTAATCAATCAAACCAATCACAGCAGAAAGTCATTTGCATGCACAGAAAACCAGCTAGCCAGCTAGCTAGCTAGCCAGCTAGCTAGCTAGCCAGCTAGCTAGCTAGCCAGCTAGCTAGCTAGCCAGTTACACACACCAGACACCTAGCCAGCCAGTTAGCTAGCAAGCTAGCTAGCCACCTAAAGAGCTGTCCAGCCAGCCAGCTAGCCAGCTAGCCAGCTAGCCAGCTGGCTAACCAGGAAGCTAGCTAGCTAGCCAGCTAGCTAGCTGGCTAGCTAGCTGGCTGGCTAGCTGGCTAGCTAGCTAGGTGGGGGCGCACCGAGAGCTGCGAAGTAGGCGGGCATGTGTGCTGCGGGTCCGCTGTAGACGCAAAAGCCTTTGGAAAGCAAAAAGACGAAATCGAAGCAGCAAAAAGCTGCAGCAGGGGGCTGGTGAATTGCCAAAATAAAAGAAGTTTTGCGGGCCCGCGCCAGCTGCTGCAGGCCCCGCAGCAGGCTGCACGCGTCGCTCGAACTCAACCCTGCAGCAGCAGCAGCAGCAGCAGCAGCAGCAGCAGCAGCAGCAGCAGCAGCGGCAGCAATGGATTTGGCGTGGTTTTTCATCGTTTTTAGGAGTGTTTTCGTGCAAAGGAATCACAAGTGTGGTTTGAAATCCACAGATTGCCAATTTCGGCTTATTTTGAGCTCTGCATGTCTGCTGCTGCTGCTGCTGCTGCTGCTGCTGCTGCTGCTGCTGTGCTGCTGCGGCGGCTGCTGTGGTCGTGATGCTGCTAATGCTGTGCAATTGTCGTTGCTGCTGCTGCTGCTGCTGCTGCTGCTGCTGCTGCTGCTGGTTTTGGGGGCTTTTGTTTGAGTTATTTTGCATCTTTTGATTTATTTGCTTTTTGCCACTGTTACTGAAAAACTTGTAAATTATTTTCTGAAAAAAGTTTTTAAAATTTTTGAATTTATTTAATTTCATTTGCCATTTGCGACTTTCTTTGTTTTTACCCCTCAGCAAAAATGGCATTTTGAAAGCAACAAAATGAAAATGGCAATAAAATAAACACTTAGCAAATGCCATTAAGAACAAATTAAATTAAATTAAATTAAATTAAATTAAATTAAATTAAATTAAATTAAATTAAATTAAATTAAATTGTATTAAATTAAGAAGAATAAATCAGAATAATAAAATAAGAATTACAAAAATAAAAGTGAGAACGAGGAATGGTAATAATGGTAATAACTACAAAAGTGGAGAAGAACAACTTTTGAAAAATGAAAAATAACTTTTTAAAAGTGCAAATAAATGGAAATAAAAACATTTAAAAGAAAATTTCCAAAAAGAGAAAAGATAAAAGAACATAAAAACAAAAATGAGAAGATTAAAGACAAAAAAAGGAAAAAGGTTAAAAAAAGATTAAAAGTTTGAAAAGAACAAAAAAAGATCAAAAAGAAACAAAAAACAAAAACTGGAAAAGAGAAAAAGACAAAAAGACCAAACAAAGCAACAAAAGCTGCAAAAGAAAGAACAAAAAAGAACAAACAAAAAGAACACAAAGAACAAAGAGAAGAACGAAAAAAGAATGAAAAAAGAATAAAAAGAATTAAAAAAGAATTAAAAAGAATAAAAAAGAATTAAAAAGAATTAAAAAAAATAATTACCTGAAGTGATTTCGTCGCAAAAACAAAGAGAAGCAAAAGAGACGAAAGCTTGGCCGGCCATCAGCCGTTTCTTTTGGCCCCCCGAAATGCCCCTTTCTCTCGCGTTGCCCACTTTCTGCAAACCCTAAACCCTAAACCCTAAACCCTAAACCCTAAACCCTAGGCCCCGAACCCCAGACCCCAAACCCTAAACCCTAAACCCTAGACGCTACACGCTGCGCCGCGCCCTTCGCGCCAAACGCGGACCCCCCTCAAGCCCCCGGCCCGCACCTAGGGTTTAGGGTTTAGGGTTTAGGGTTTAGGGTTTAGGGTTTGGGGCTTGCCTGGTGGGCGACTTTCTCGAGCCCGAGGAACTGCAGCGCGGCCTGCACAAGTTGCTGCTGCTGCTCTTTGCTGCAGCAAGTCTTCAGGGCCCCACAAAACTCCAAAACTTCAATTGTTTTTTCCTGGCCCGTAAACACTGGTTCCTGAGGTGTACGAAACCACGATTTAGGGTTTAGGGTTTAGGGTTTAGGGTTTACGGTCGTGCACGCAGCAAGCTAGCTAGCTACCTAGCTAGCCAGCCAGCTAGCCACCTGGGCAAATGGCCACCACGACAGCCACCCAGCTAGCTCGCCAGCTAGCCAGCCGGCTAGCTAGCTAGCTAGCCAGCTAGCCAGCAAACTAACTAGCTAGCTTACTGGCTAGCTAGCTAGCTAGCTGGCTAGCTAGCTGGTTGGCTAGCTGGCTAGCTACTTGTGAGCACACTGCCTTCACCAGGAAGTGGAGCCTGGATCCCACGGCCAAGGGATCGGGCTAGGGTTTAGGGTTTGGGCAAGGGTTTAGGGTTTAGGGTTTAGGGGACCTGGGGGAGGTGGATGGCTTTGGAGTTGAGGTGTCTGTACACCGCAGGGACTCCGTCAAGAAACACTTTTCCCTTTTTGTCTTTTTGTCTTCCATTTAAACAATTCAATAAAGTGGATTTGCCTCCCCCAGAAGGGCCCAGGATCCCCACC